ATATATATATATATATACATATATATATATATATATATATATATATATATATATATATATAACATTAACACGAATTAAACCTGCATATTTTTCCGATGTCGCTCCATTTCCGGATCATCCGCAACTTCAATCTTCGTGCCTTTCGATTTTTCATAAGCCGCATGATATTGTACCTGAAGATCACCATGAATGAAAAGAATAATCTATCTGAGTAACTTTACAAACAGTTTTGGCAAACTACTAAAGAAAAATTAGTAACATTGCAAAAAAGAGATGATATTGAAAAAATGAATTAATGAGGAAAAGCAGGAAACAAACACGGAACGTCGAAAAAAATAATGGTTCAATCCCCTCTCCCCCCCTTTCCCAAAGTTCCCATATCATATGTGGTCAATAACAAATCGTCATTATTTCAAGAGATTTGAAATCTAGGATTTTAACAGTATATTATGCTTCAAAATAAACACAAATCCCGAGAACGCAGACTTAGAATTAGCTAAAAGCACCTTTAAAATGGTCATTCTGCGCTGTGCATTAGATGAAATATCAAAATATTTACTGAGAAATTTTTCTGCACTTTCTACATGAAAGTGAATTTAGAATTTGTTCTATTGGAAGCATGGGATTAAGTGAGTCTGGTATATATAAATGCGTTGTAAATACTGCAAAATTTACTCGAGCAAATCGATTACAGTTCTATGTTATCGACTATCAAAACATAATTATCAATGAAATCAAGGTATTCAACGTGCAGTGCGCGCAACCCCAACGAATTATTTTTCTCATTATACTTAAAATCAACTTTTAGGGTGCACTACGACCTCTCCCTACATGATAGAGGTAAAAAGTCTTTCTAAGCTGGTAAGGTATCCTATGTCAGATCAAACAAACTTAGGAGATTTTATCGTTAATCTTTCGAATTCACAAGTAGCAAAGCTAGCGCAAGCAAGCTTTTTTTAATCCAAAAAAGCAAATCGCCCGCCTCTGCTTTAATGAGCTGCAACCGCGCGAATTCATTAATCTGTTGTGTACCAATTCCTTTTGCCATTTTCAACGTACGGCGACCTTTGTCTTCGATGAGGCCGATGGAATCGCCCGAAGCAATAGCGCCGTTGTAACAACGGCTGCTGCTGTAAGGCGTGGGATGTAAACGATTTCCTCGAAACTGATCAAGAAACAACAAGGCGCAGAGGTATACGATTAAACGCTACTGGCCACTATCTATATACACATTAAACAATCATAACGAGTTAGATGACAAGTGAGATTTTGGATAATTCGCAATTTACAAAGTACTTTTTCTTACTATTTCTTGCCTTTAAATTTCTCTATATTGTCCAAATCAAAGAAGTCACCATTTTTGTATGTGCGTGGTAAAGTAAAGGGCAAGGTGTTTCACTCAAAATATTGCCGACAATATTGGCCGTTCCGAAGAATACATAAAAGTCGCTGGAACTAAAACCAGATGATAATATAAAGCTGTGATAAGGTACAACAGTAGCAGCACCTAAGAGATGTTCGCAAATATCCCCAATTACAGATATTATTTAGGGCATCAATTTTGATTCAAAAATGCTAATAAAAAGTTTACTCTGAAGTTTTCTGCCTCTAATGACAGCTCAAATTTATATTTGGCATAGATGCGAACTGTGCTGTGCCGTTGCTTCGAAACAAATTGGCCTATTTTGTACTATGCAAGTTTCGGGTCTTCGAAAAATCCTCTCGCCTGAAATGTGAATACTTAAAAATGCTTTAACGTGAAGCCGTACGAAGGCCTACGTGGTCCAATTCTACATTTCCATCAGAAGTGAGGCTAGACTGTAGAGAAATCCCTACATTAAAGTTAGATCTCTATCAGAAGATATGTCTTTATGTCATAGATGATAATAATACCGACGTTCAGTGAGTACAAATATAAGATGATATAGGAAAAAGAATACCTGGCTTTGATTTTTTGTGTTTTCTGCAACCCGCCGCATTTCAGGAGTGTCGGTAACCACAGATGCAACAGTTTTTGGGTAATGTCTTGAATGGACTATATGTTAATATCGAAAGCACCGATGGACACAAATAAACTTACGGTTCACAGTAAGGCATTTTATCGTAGCCCTTGTAATTTTTCATATTCAGTGTCATCCCGCATACTGTACACTTGAAACACTGTTTGTGCCAAACCTAAAAAGAAAAAACAAAGTGAATATAAATTAAGAAGAAAAAGCAACAGACCTTATCCAAACACTTGAGTTCTTCCAAAGGATAGACGGTTTTCCCACACTCCTCACGAGCACACTTCTTGGCGCTCATGTTCTGTCCTGACAAATAAAGCTTTTGCATATGTACAAATACCAGGTAACAGAGAGAGGAAGAAAGAGAAGGTCAAAAGAGGATGAAAAGAGACTTTTGTGTTAACTTGGATCAGTGGACGCAAAGATAAGAACGGAGCAATTTTATTGTGGAATATGGTCAGGATTGATTCTTTAAAAAGGCTATTGAAAAGCAACGGATGAGATGAAGAAATGGGAAAGCACTAAAACACCTCTGATGCAATCAATGACTTTGCAAAATTCTCCAATTATGTCAAAGCCGAGCAAACTGGCAAAAAACACATAAAATCAAAATGCGCGAGAAAATTTCATTGCAATAAGCGTAGTTTCATTAAGCAGCCATATCAAAATCAAATTTTGCACTTTTTAGCACAAAGCTTTGTTTTTGAATCGCATTACTTTCGTAAAAAAGCGCCTTGGATCACTTGATATTTGTGTCGAACTTTGAAGTTGCAGTTTAAAAAATATGATCAGACCATTCCTTACTTTAGTCTAAAATAACTTCTACTTTTATAGGCTTAACAGGTCATGACTAGAACATCTCCGATCACTAACTTTTCCCTGATGCCAACTATCTTCATAACCTATCATAATTCTAT